CTCGCCGCACAGTGGTGAAGTGACCAGAAAAAGAGAGCTACAGAAAGAAGGAAAGCGCGTGGGGTTTCTCCTTTCTGCTTCCTTCTCCCTTCATAGTCACTGCCAACTCATGCTGGCAACCCCCACTCCAAGAGTTGATACCTTAGGAGGTAAAATGAGGGTGATGAATTCACCTCACGTCTCCCTTCTATGGCCAAGTACACGTGCAAATAAGACACAGCCAGCAAGTATTCTCTCCATCACCACTGGAACTGTGTCCTGAAGGGGTACACTGCATTTGATCCCCACATGGGAGCATGTCCATAATCGCACGGGGCGGGACATTAGCACAAGCTTTGGAGCAAGCGCTGCTGAGGACCTTGGACTTGTAGGGCAGGATCTGGGAACTGCGAATTTTGGAGACCCCAGAAGGGCACATATAACAGCCTGCTTGTGTAAGAAGTAGTGACTGGACCTCATCAGTGCTCCAGAACATCATCCACCGAACCTCCAAAGTCCCTCCTCATAATTGTAGTCGTGTCTTTTGCTTGAGACTTGTTTTAAAAAGCAGCAGCAAGAAACATCCCTTACCAGGATGCACTTGGTCAAGGTACATCCCAGCCTGTACTGACACAGAAATATGGATTTTCCTAAAGGTGTCTCCTTGCATGCAGGACAACAAGCATCAAAACATGGCTTTCTTCAAATGTTCCTGGGGCTTTCTTTTCTTTTCCTCACTAACTATGAGGGTTTTTTCAAGCTGTCATAAAACATCTGCAACTTAATTTTCTCCAAGTCACAAGCTTCACTCAGGGTACATAAAAACACTCAAGCTGTCTCTAAAACACTGAGGAGATGCCTGCCTCAATGCCCCGGTCTACCCCTGCCCTGGCCCCTGGGGCAGGACCATTTCTAATGTGTGCCAGAGATTCAGGACCCCAGCAGAGTGCAGGGCAGACCTTAAGCACTTCTGCCATGAATTACAGTCCTGTGAGGACTGCCCCCAGGTCATAGAATCCCAGACTGGTTTGGGTTCGAAGGGACCTTAAGTCTCATCCATTTCCCAGTATCACCATCCCAGTACCTTGCCACAGGCAGGGACACCTTCCACTGGAGCAGGTTGCTCTAAGTCCCATAGACCCTGGCCTTGAACACTGCTGGGATGGGACAGCCACAGGTTCTCTGGGCAACCTGTGCCAGGGCCTCAGCACCCTCACAGGGAAGAACTTCTGCCTAAGAGCTCATCTCAATCTCCCCTCTACCAGTTTAAAGTCATTTCCCCTTGTCCTGTCCCTGCATGCCCTTGTCTAAAGCCCCTCTCCAGGTTTCTTGTAGCCACTTTAGGCACTGGAGCTGCTCTAAGGTCTTCCCAGAGCCTTCTCTTCTCAAGACTGAATAAGCCCAGCCTTATCCACCAACCCTGCTTCAGGTCCCCAAGGAGGCAAAGGTGATTCACAGCCTTTCCAGCTCAGCCACCTCCCTCAGCAAAAAATCTCTGCAAATCCCCAGTGTACCCTCCCCATGGTGGTTAGATTGTTCTCCCTGTGCTGTGACACTTGCTGGTTGTCCAGCAGCTGGCTAATATCACCAACACCACCACCCCCACCCCACCCCCTCCAGTTTTTCCCAGTGCTGGGTGCCTGCCTGGTTCCTGGAGCCTGTGCTCTTTCTAAATGGGTAGCTTAAACTATTTCTGATGTATTTAGGACTATATGCTGAGACCTGGCATCTAGAAAGCATGCTTTCCCCGTGCCACGGTCTGATCTGTGCCTTGGGGTGTGCTGCATTTGGGCTTGGCCCCAGCTTGCCCACTTACACCCTCCATGGAGCTTCATCCCCAAAATTAGCAGGCGGACAGCACTTGTGGCACTGCAGAGCTTGGGGCAGGGACCCCCACGGGTGCACTGGTCCCCAGCAGGATGCCCTAGTGGGATGAGTGTCCTGGCAGGATGGGTGTCTTAGTGGGATGGATGTCTAGGTGGGACAGATGTTCTGGTGGGATGGGAATCGTGGTGGAATGGGTAATCTGGTAGGATGGGTGTCCTGGTGGGACGGATAATCTGGTAGGGTGGGTGTCCTGGTAGGATGGATAACTTGGTGGGATGGACAACCTGGTGGGATGGATGCCCTGGTGGGATGAGTGCCCTGGTAGGACGGGTGTCCTGGTGGAATAGATATCCTAGTGGGATGGGTGTCCTGGCAAGAGGTTCTCCTGGTGGGGTGTCCATGCCACCCCAGCTCTCTCTGAGCCTGTCTGTGCCCCAGGGGCAGTTTTCCAGCAGGAGGAGGGTCTTGAGCTGCCCTGAGATAGGTGCTGGTGCCCCGAGGGACGAGAAACAAGGGGTCATCCAGGCAGACTGAGACAGCGGGTACATTGAGTCAGCGGAGTACACTGGGACAGCCGGATACACCGGAACAGGGGACACACTGGGACAGGCAGGTGGCAGCAGATCCTTCGGGAAGCGCTGGGATGCACCGAGCTGGCGGCTGCGCGCCCGGAGAGCCCGATCCTGAAGGCGGAGAGTAGGTGCCCTCTGCACTGGATATATCCCCTCTGCCCTGGGTGCTGTCCCCTCTGCACACGGTATATTTACCCTGTGCACCCTGTGCCTGTCTCCTCTGCACTGGGTGCACCGGGTGCCTGTCCCCTGAGGACATGGTGTTATCTCCCTGCTGCACACGGTGCATATCCCCACCGCACGGGTGTTATTTACTCTTTGCACAGGGTGCATATCCCCTCTGCACGCAGTGCATTTCCCCTGTGCAAGGGCCGCATGTCCTTTCACATGTCAGCACCACCCAGCGCCATGGAGACAGGTCAGCTTGTCTCATACAGAGGCAGAGCGGTGCTGAGCACAGCCCCTGGGCTGCTGCACTCCCTCGGGCATGCACCCGGGACACCTCTGCCCTGGCTTCCCTGTGTGCCCAGGGGAGACACATAGTCCTTGAAACCACCTCTGCAGACTGAGCTGTGCTTTTTCTTTGAGGGGCTCTATGCACATCAGCTTCTTCTTGCACTGTGTTTATTCCTATCACCCTTCTGCTATTCTGTGCTAGTGTGCAGGCTGAGACCAGCTCCTGCTTCATTAAAAAGTGTGGCTTTTTCCATAGCAAATATTCCAGAAAGCCCGTATTCACCTTGTGGGAGCATCTACAGCAGAGCTACTTCCCAGGTCCAGCACCTTCTGTGGGTGCCTGCACACATCCCACTGGTCCTGGGATGGATGTCCCTTGTCTTTCCCCCCCCAGATTCCACATGGGAAAGGGTGCTGAGGCTGGGGTCCATGCTCTCAGGCACTGCTGCAGCCAGACAGGTTGCAAGCAGAGCCAGGAGCTGGCAGCACAGGCTGTGGGGTGTGTGCCCACCTTCCACCCTGGCACACTGCTGTGAATGGGGAGCGGTTGATGCCTGGGGCGCTTCCTGAGAGGGGAAGCCCCATCCAAGCCCCGACTTGGCTGCTGGTGCAGGATGCCAGCACAGCCCCTGCGCGCTGCAGTGGCCGGGGTCCTGCTGCGCAGTGGCCATGTCAGCCACCCGTCAGCTTTGTCTTCCAGCAAAGCATCTTCCCATGGGGTTTATTGGGGTTTAAATGCATTTAGGGCAAGGCAGGCCCTTAAACCCTGTCTCCAGCCCTAAGCCTCTGTTGCAACAGCCTCTTGGAGCCTGCTTAGGCAAAAGACACTCATGCAGTAAGGCAATGCATTTAAAAAGCAAATGGGTGCTGAGCTGGGTGTTGCTTTTCTCACCAGCAATGCTGGTGCTGAGCAGGCTGGGCATCCACCACAGAGCCATATGCTGAAGCTGGGCAAACCTTTGGGGAAGGGGTGAGGAGCTCTTCAGGGGGGGCCTGGATTACCCTTCGGTGCTGGTATTGCCATGCTCCCGCTTTGACAACCCACCTTGTGCCACCCAGCCTGGCAGAAAGAACTATCCAAACCCTCTCATTTCAGGGCTTCCGCAGCATCTTGCATTTTAAACTTGCTCTGTCCCTACTGCCTGGCCACCAAGGGCTGGTGGGGACACCCATGCCAAGCTGAGCTGTCCCCTTGTGTGGAGGGGCAGGGGAGGAGTGACAGCAGTGGGGTGCAAGCCCTTGAGCCAGGGCTGAGAACCTGCCTTGGTGGCAGGGCACACCCAGAGGACAAGTACAGGCAGGCAGACGCTCCTGTGCATAAAAAGCCATAAAAAGCAACTCTCACTTGGCAGAGTTTCGGAAGCAAAACGCGTCCCACGCACCTTCCCAGCACCCCACCACACCCCCAGCACCCCTCATCCTGCAGCCACCCACCATCAGGGCATCTGAGCACTGCATTTAACACCCACAGGGCTTATTCCCAACTATGATTGTCTGCCCTCCTGGGCCTGGAGCTTGCAGCTCCAAGCAAAGTGCTCCCCAAAACTGGGCTTGAAAAAAGTGCTTGGAGATCACACCTGGGGCAGCAGTGAGGCACTGTAGCTGGCAGTACCTGGCACAGGGAGGCTGCAGGGAAAGCATCCCTTTGGTCATAGAGCTGCTCTGAGAGAGAATTTGGGCTTGCTAAGCATGAGATCTCAGGGTGGGTTTGTCCCCCCTGGGGCTCAGCCCAGTGCCTTGCTGTAGCAGTTCGGGATGGACATGCTGCCAGCCCACACCACCCTCTCAGCCACCATGCTTGTTCCCACAAGCTCTTTCACCCACAGGAAACCCCAGGGTGGTGCGGAAACACCTACCACAAAGTCAGAGGAAGGCAGGAGGAGGCTGAAGCCTGCCTAAGCATGCCTCCCCTGTCCTCAGCAAGGGACCAGCACTTTCAAGATGCCCAAAGCCACCCCACATGCAGGATGAGATCCATCCCAAAGACTGAGAAGCTGCTTTTGTCTTCCAGAGAGATGCAGAGTTCTTCCCCGAGTTCTTCTGCATTCAGGAAGGCCATTGGGGTGTTTGCAAGCAGCCCATCACCACCCCAAGGTGACAATTCCCACACAGGAGTCATGAGCAGCAACAGTGCTCAGTCTCCAGTCCAGCAGCAGCACTCACACCTCCATCCAAACACCTTTATTCCTTTATTTCCATCCAGTTACACACCACTGGTACAGAAAATACAAAACATCGAAAATAGGCTCTTTTGTGCTGTGTGTCCCCGTCCCCCCATATCGCTATCCCCAAAGTGTGCTGGCTATTTACAGGCACAGGTGAATAGCTCAGTGGCAGCAGCTGCACTTGCTGCTGGCCGGCTCCTTACACACGCAGCCCTTGGCACAGTTGCTGCAGCTTGCGGGACAGCAGGCACAGCAGCCTGGGGGGAAGACAAGAGAGTTAAGGGGGGGGGGGGCTGGAAAGGAACTGGGGGCCCATGGGGCAGAGGCACCTGATGGAGAAGGAAAAAAAAGCACACCCCATACATAGTATCCCAATGGCACAGCAGTTTGGGTCCTAACAGAGAAGGGGCACCCCCCAACGGGCAACAGGCGGCAGGTCTCAGAAAGAGGGAAGGATCCTCGCAAAGGTCCAATAGGACACGGGCACCCCCATGTCAGAGCGGTGGGGTCTCCATAGGGAGCCCTACAGTGCAAAGGAGAGATTCTCTACAGGACAAGAACCCCTTGGATTCACGGGCACGCTGGGAGGTGGTGGGGGACCCGTGGGGTCCCAGCAAGGCACGGGCAGACCTCTAGGGAGAAGCTCTGTATGTCCCCCCCCCCTTTCCCCCTGCTGAGCCCCACACTCACTCTTGCGGCAGCTGCGGCAGCGGCAGTTCTTGCACTTGCAGGACCCGGCGCAGGAGCATGAGTCACCTGGGACGGGAGAACGGCCGTCAAGCTGAGATGGGGCCGGGGCCGGGGCCGGGGCCGGGGCCGCGACGACGACCCGCCAGGCACAAGCCCGGGACACTTACCGGCGGCACACGTGCAGTCCTGGGGATCCATGGCTCGGTTTAGCTTGGTTGCCTTTGCTCGGTTCGGCTCGGCGGGACTCGCAGCAATACACAGCCCTGCCGGCGTTCAGTATTTATGGGGTGAAAGCATGGGGCGGTGCGCGGCGCTGCGCACGGCGGGGCGGGACCCTCATCGGGGCCTTGCAGTGCCGAGCCGGGCCGTGCTCACTATGGGGCCGTGTTCACCGTAGGGCCGTGCTCACTATGCGGCCGTGCTCACCGTGGGGCCGTGCTCACAGGGGGCGGTGTCGTGGAGCCGTGCTCACCCGGGACGGGGCCGTGCTCAGTCTGTGCCGTGTTCACCTGGGTCACGGCCCTGGCCTCCTCCTCCATACTTCCCTCCAGAGGGTCCTACCTATACCCCATTGTGCCCACTTCCCCGCAGGGTGCTGCATCCCTGAGGGCCAAGATGCCGGAAGATGCCGAGGGGGGTGGCAGCGATGGCATAGCACTGCCCCCAACTCCTCTTGCACGTCTGGGGCACCTCCATGTGGCAGTGGTGGGGTGCACTGGGCCACCCACCTGTGAAGAGGCCCGCGGGTTGGGATAGTCTCAGCATCCAGCTGGAGGGTGGGATGGCCCCGGGGTAGAACTTGGGGTACTTGGCAGGTCCTCAGGAGAGGTATGCATGGGGGTCAGCACCTGGATGTGGTGCTGGGTCATGGCATGGGCTGCTGGGAATCCCGGCTTCCCTGCACCAGCAGTGCCCATGGGTTTTCCCTCTTCTCCCAGTGTTTATGTGCCAACTGGCTTTCACCACCAGCCAGCTCGGCACTGGGCATGGAAATGAGTGGCTGGGCCAGGGACATGCTGTCCCTGTGCCTGGTGGTGGTGTGGCAAACAGGGCAAGCCTGGGCTCAGACCTGGCACTGTGGATGGGCTCCATCCTGGTGGAGTTCAGGCCAGCAGGCCCCTGGATCAGGTGGGAACCTGTGGCCTTGGGAAGTTCTGCCAGGGAACGGCTCGTGCTCGTCATCAGAAACACAGGGCTGTTTTTTCCTGGCAGTGCTCTGTGGGCAGTGTAAATATGGGGCTAAGCCAGCAGGCACCGCGCTTGCCACTGGCTCAGCGGGAAAGGAGGAGAGGTGAGATCATGGCACGTGCAGGCTTACTGCACATAAACAGGGCTTGTGAAATCACTTCCCGGACTCCTTCCCAGCAAGGTCTGCCCCCCCCCTCCAGCGAGGACAGTCTCTGCTGCACCCTTGCTTGAGGAAATGAGAGCCCCACAGCACCCAAAATGGGGATGTGCATCCTGACATGGGGATGCACAGAAAATGGGGGTGATTGTGCAGGGGCAAGGCTGCAGAAATGCAAGAGAGTTCCCAGATTTCTGGGAATCCCACACATTACCCATTGAGGGGCTGTGCTCCCATCATTGCAAGTGGGAAGGTCCCCACAAGACCGTGTGTGTGGAGCTGGGACAGGAAAAAAACCTGGAAAATGCCCAGTCTTCCCAATCAGGGCATTTCCACCGAATAATGAAGTCACCCTGCAGCAGGTCAGAGAGGGATAAGGCATGGGCTTGCTGGGATGCAGGGCACATGCCAGATGTCAGTGGGGAGAGGAGACCTCAAGGTCCCCCCACATCGTTGCTGGTGCTCCCATTTCCCAGGGCTGGCAGGGAGGGAGTAGTAGTTAATCCTGAGGCTGTGCCCATGAAAGAGGGATGCAAGGTCCAACCCTGATTTTATAGCAGTTGTAAAGCGAACAGAGGAACCCAAGCTTCCCCTCACAGGTCTCAGGGCTTGGACAGCATCTGATAGGTGTTCTCTATCACACTGCTGTGGGGCAAGACTGAAGCAAACTCATCCAGGACTGTGAGGCTAGAAAGATGCTGTAAACCCCACTGGTTAAACCACGTCTGGGGATAAATCCCATTAGCAACCTCTCCTTCAGGCTTGTTGTGGGCTCACCAACTATGTTTTTGCATGGTTGGCCCTTAAATCTCTCTGGGTAGAAAAGAATAAAGAGAACCCTGTGATTTGCAGAATGGAGTTTAGTTTGGAGCTCCAGAGCTGGTGTTGCACCCTTCCTGTGACATGCCTGCCCTGTCCTACATAGCAACATGCTTCACAGCCATTGGAAGCATGGGGTGATGGTGATATCTCGAGGGACACCCTGGGGGAAGAGCCCTTCTGGAGCAAAGGAGTATCCCCAAGGACTGGCACTGCAAGCACCCAGTGTGCAGGCATGCCCTTAGCTGTGACAAAACCCCGCTGAGTCCTGGCAGCAGTGGCTAGATGGGTCAAAAAAGATTTTACAGCTGTAAAGAGGCTATGAAAGGCTGTGTTTGGGGAGCATGAGTACAGGCAGGGCCCCTCATGTGTCCTAGGGAGCAGCATGGTGCCACATAGCTCCTGGGGTGCAGTGTCCTGTTGTGAGCAGAGCAAACATCACACCCCAACATGAGCATCTGAACTCACTGTGGACTCACTCTGGCATGGGCATTGCACCTTGGTGTGGGCATCCAATTCCAGCATGGACATCATAACCCCTGACAGGTATTGTCCCCCATCATGGGCACAGCATCCTATTGCAGGCATTGCACCACATTGTGGGTATCCAGGTCACACACAGCTCCCTGCAGAAGCACCCTGCCAAGCTGGCAGAGGGATGAGCAGTGTAATTCTTCCCAGCCAGTTCAACAAAAGTGCTGCGAGGAAAAGCTAAACCTGTTTCTCCACCACCCCACCCATTATGGAAACATTACCCCTGGAAACAGGCAGTGCTACACCAGTTATTACATTGTCAATGAAGGCTCGTGCTGACGAGCTGCTCACTGGCCCTGAGGATTTCTGGTGAAGGAGAAAGCATGGGATTTGCCTTTGGGCAACAACAGGGGGGGGGGGGGGGGGGGAAACACCCAACTATGAATTACCTTGTTGTGCAAGGAAAATGTCAGAGCTGCTGGTAGGGAGGGCAGAGCCGAGATTAGAAGAAAGCAGAAAGAACACACAAGCTGTGTGCCATGACTACCCAAAACCAGTGCTCTCCTGCTCTCCTGCTCTCCATCGACACCCCCCCCCCCCCCCATCCAAGAGAAGTGCCAGCTTCCTTATAGACCTTTATATACATATCACTTTATTTAGGTAGCTTATTACACATCACAGTGACAAACACTAAAGGTATCTGAACACACGTATAAAAAAAACCCAACATACACAATAAGGTTATTGTTCTTCATCCCCTCTGATGCACAGCACCCCCAGATGTGCAGCTGGGGGTCCTCATTTGCAGCAGCTGCACTTGGCGGAGGGTGGCCCCTTGCAGACGCAGCCCTGCGCACACTTGGCACATCCTGCCGGGCAGCAGGAGCAGCAGCCTGGAGAGGGAGAAGAATGAGTCAGGGGGGCCTCAGGGCGAGATCTAGGGAGGTCCCGTGGGGGGTAGCTGGTCTGGAGACCTCGCACCAAACCTTGTGCACTCCCCTTTTAGCAGCATCCCCATCCTGGCAATGTCTCCCGGGGTAGTTTTGCACCAGGGCCCATCAGCCCCTCACCGAGCAGCACCTCCCCACCCCCGCCCCGGCTGTGCCCGGGGGTGCCAGCGTCAGGAGCAGCCAGAAGAAATCCCAATGCTGGTTTCCTCCCGGGTCATCCACTTGTGCTGAGCCTGAGCTGCCAGCAAGGGGTATACCAACTTGTGGGTTACACTGGGTAGCTGGTATTGCCTGGTGGCAGGTGGGTTGCACCCTGTGCTCCTCTAGGGGCAAGAACGTACACGAGGAATAAACTCCACCCTAGCAATCTGAGTCTGATTGGATTCAGTGTGTCCCAGAATGTTTAGTGAAACCCTCCATGAATGTTTCTCCCCGGCTTGTGGCTCAGGGACCCCGTCCTACCTTTTTTGCAGGATGTGCATTTGCAGTTTTTACATTTGCAGTTGTCCCCACAGGTGCAGGTGCCACCTAGAACACGGAGAAAAAGAGGAAAAAGGTTGAGAAGCTGTGGTGGGAAGGGAGCCCCACAACCCCATGGCTCAGCATGGATGCTCTGGCCGAGGGATGCAGAGGAAACATTGGTGTCTCTCTGGAGAGGTCACAGCGTTCCCAGTGAGATGCTCCAGGTGTGACACTGCAGTGCTGGGAAAGGATTTCAGCAGGCAGCCCAGCCAGGATGAGAGCGATGAGGATGTAGGAGGAGGCTGGAGCATCAGGGGTCCCCCAGGGATGCTCTGGCAGCTCGATGCTGAGGGAAGCGCTGGCTTACCAGTGGCACAAGGGCAGTCTTGGGAGTCCATGTCCGCCTGGGCTGGGTATCGGGAGACGCTGGGCAACGTGGAGAGCCGCTTTAGCGGAGCTCTCCGCCGCCTCTTATTTATCCGTGGCCGGTGAGAGCGAGTGCAAAACCTCCGCCCCTCGCAGCCTGCACACGGCTCAGCCCGCGCCTGCCCCGGGCGCTGCTGATTCACTCCCCGGGCAGCACCTGCGGCTCCCATGTGTCCCCTCCCCGGCGTGGTGGGGACAGCAGGGAGGGATGTCTGGGACCACCAAGATGTTGGGGTGTGTACGTGTGTGTGTGTGCGTGTGTGTGTGTGTGTGTGCATGCAGAGAACAGTCAGCTCTCATCACACCGATGGCACCCACCTTGGGAGTGCTGCTTCTCTCCCATGGGCTGGTGGATTCACTCAAGGTTGACCCCCCCAGCCCCGCCTTTTGCCTAAACCAGTCTGCCAAACCCCCAGATGTCTCAGGAGGTGCTTTGATCATGGGGCAGTCACCACTGCTCTTTGTCCCTTCCTCACAGTGAGGAGATGTGGAGCTGGTACAGTGGAGTGACAGGGATGCGGTCCCTACCCCAGACCCCATCTGATGGCTCTGACATCCTTCCCAGGAGCGGGACCAGCAACAAGCTGGACTGGCTCAGCCGGAGCCTCCATGCCCTCCCAGCGCCTCGGGATGGCAGCACCCACGTCCCCTCTGCGCCGTGCTTGCCACCTTGGGGCCCTGTCTCCTTCCCAGCTACAGTGCTCCATCCCACTTGTCTGGGTTAATTTCTGTGCTCCATTAGCCGGGTGTGCAGGGAAGACAGTGGTAGGCAAGCTGCCATCATCCTGGTCAACTCCTCCAGCGGGTTTTACCCACCCACTCTAAAGAGCAGTGAGGCTTTGGGGTGGAAAGTGCAAAAAAAAATGATGCTTCCCAAGATTTTTGGTGCAACGAAGACCTGTCCCATGGCCAGGA